CATGAGACCAATAGCTGCTTCACTATACGTCATACTCGACGAAAGAATGATTAAAACACTTAATAAACGATTGTTTAAAAACTCTGAAAAAGGTCGAATCACCTGTAGGTCCAGTCTATCAGCCATGTAATAGATTATAGTTGAAGCATATGGTGATATGTACGAGGTAGCAATGACTGATTAGCGAAGAATTAAGAACACGTACGAAAAATCACGTTCCGAAACTTTAAACGCGTTTTTCTCGAAACTATATGCAAGATACCTCGAGATCTAATCGACCAATTACTATGAAATTTTGCTTATATCTTTATTATAACATTTATTAGGCATTGACGTTCGATTTCTTAAAAATTGTTACCAATTTCAAAGGTTATTAACAAAAACCAACGAAATTTTTCGTAAAAATTCGATAGATCAACTATAAATAGCTGTCATTTCGTTAATTTTCAAAAGAATTGAAATATTCGAACGTCAATACCTAGCGAATATGTTATAATTTCGAGTCCTTTTTGAGTTTCTATCAATAACTAACCCTATTTTCCTGGAATCCTGCACACCGACAGGCCATATTGAAAAAGATTTCCTCAAAATGATGACGTCACGAAGCTAAATACGGGACCTTTTTGAAAATTGAATATCGTTTTACATAGCTTATAACATGTTGAAACAAGTCACAAAGCTTATATCAATCAAACGATTACCTTTTCTCCGGTATTTCTTAACACTAGAACTACCGATCTTTAGTGGGCACCTAACTATAACGTGCACAGATTATGGTAATACGATGCGGTTCGATGAATATGAGTGAATATATCGATTACAGTTCTTTCTTAATACGAGTTGGTACCGATTTTATTCTTAAAACAGGTGTATGTGTTCGGTGATTGCAAAAAAGAAAATTGTGGGACCAGTCATTTTCACTGGGTTGGTAGTTCTAGTGCTAACTCTCATATTGACTGAGTCTATAGTCTCCCTCTATACCGAAAATAAAGTATACTGTCTGACCCTTTTCTAGGCATCGTGATTTCACAAATAAAAAGACCTTCATCTTTGGATATCCTGAAAGATAATTTCATCAGATAGGCCCGAATTACCAATTCGTTTTGTCGTAGATTCAAAGGTTAGAGAAACGAACACAGTGCTTCAAGTATTCAATGAGACAATAAATTTGAATTAACCACTTGCGGTGTTAAGAAATCCAAAGACGCGTGTGTCAGAACGGTCCAGTGTTTCTTTAACCACTTTAACTTTACTACGATTTAACTTTCGGTTGCCGTGCTGCGCTCTACAATATAACATGCGGTAAAGCATTACATTGACACTGCACTGCGTCTGCGATCTAACTGTCAGCCGACGTGACGGACACGTCGTTTTTGTTTCTGCGACAAATGCCTATCGACGTGGTATACACGTCGCTGGCGATTTTGGAACAAAAGCATTTCGACGTGCGTGACACGTCCTTATAGCTCAAGTGGTTAAGTGCCACGCCGATCCCTAGGAACTAGCGCTAGACTCCGTTCGGGCCCGGCCGGTCCTCAGAGACCAACCCAGACTAGGACCAAAAGGTGCTAACTTTCGGTGTCAAATTCTTCGCCATCTTCGGACCTAACGTTTGGGAATTCCTGTTATAACAATTGGTACAGTATTTTCGAGTTTTATGAACACTTCGCCCACCGCCGGTGGTCCACTTGACGGCAGAGTATGGGCCTGAACGGAACGGCAAGCAAAACAGGAAGCTAGGCACTTAATGCGTTAAACTTTCCTCCTATGGTGCTTTCTAAAGGAGCGTCTCGTTTCGTCTCAATTTTCACGAGAAAGCGACATTTTCTATCAAAAGTGTCGCTCTCACTAAACGATTCAAGGCTGTCTTTCTGTATACATATTCGAGACGAGGAAAAGTATAACGAGAAGTAACTATAAAAGCAAGTATACGATGTTGAAGGTGTCTGCAAGGGAATAGATAAAACGATCTCAGACGAAAACTGTTAATGATTTAGCCAGAACGTGGCATCGAGCTAAAGGCAAAGGATAAAGAGAATAAACAGTTTGTAAAGGTAGCCTCTGAACATCTCTGCATCAAAGACAGGGTAGATCAAAGAAGGACATACTCAAAAGAGTTCGCTGAATGCAATCGAAGTCCTTTTCGTGCTAACAATTTGAAATTTTTGAGTGTAATCAGGAAACCGTCTGAGCACTACATGGGGAGGAAAATGTGACTGTAGGAACATTAAAATGAGAGATTAACCCATTAGCTGCCACGATCCCCATTTGGGGATTTTGGAATTTTACGTACACCACTCGGTGCCAAAAATATATTTGGTACGCCTGACAGTTTAGTTTTATTCTATATATATCAGTCAATATTGTACGTAGCAAAAAGTGTGTATTCCGTGCTTCGTTTCTATACAACAAGCGAACAAATTTGAAATTCGCGTGTAAGTTGAACGGAACAGAATTGTCATATTTGAAGCATTATATTTTTGGTTTGGTTTTTATATTATAATGAAATACCGTACATAAATATGTAATTTAGAGGTTATAGTAACGATTTGTTACTTACTCGGTCTTTTGTTTTTTATTGAAATGATTTTATCGATCATTTTATAACGATACCCATTTTGGGACTTTTTCAAAAATATCGAATATTTTCAAAACAAAACGTAATTTGAATATAATTATACTGTTACACAACCTTTTGTACATATATATAACTTATCCGGCCAAAAATTTCAAAAAAAGAAATTTGGCAGTTAATGGGTTAAACGATGTTGCATTTTTAATAGAAGTTTTCTTTAGACATAAATTATAGTACAGTTCATAGTACAGAAAAGGGTTCGAAAACAGTGATTTGGAACATTATCTGAAATTTGATCTGAGAGATCTGAAAGTCTCTTCGAACATCAGTGAGAGGATAGTTTGAAAGGAAAATTAAAAATTTGTCAAAAGGATATTAAAAGCGGAAATATGGTGCTTAGTATTCAATGAAAATGAAAAATGGGATAGATCGAAATTGATCACTCCAATCACTGAATGTGGACCTTATTAATAATCAGAATTGTTTCTATATATATCAGTACAAGTGCTAAATGAAAAATAATATAAAAATAATAAGACAAATAATACTTAGTATATACCTTGATTATGCAATTTGACATATAACTATTACAATTCCAAGTACAATTATTATTTATAAAATTCAGGCATTTACTGAGAAAAAAGGAAAAGGTTTAAAGCACCATGTTCTCTGAGTTTTCTTAAAAGAAATTTAAAAATAATTCTCCAAATTTGCCGATCTAAAATGTGAGAATTTACAATTAAAAAATAATTACTAATTTATAAATACTGCGACTTTCATGTTAAAATTGTTGCACTTCGTTGCAGCAAAGTTATACAACAGCGTTATGTATGTCAACTGATTAAATATAATACAATATAGGTATTTCTTGAATAGCAAAAATAATTAATTTCACGTTATACGAAACACAATGATTTGGGAATTAGATACAAATTTTGGGATTGTATTCTACGTATGTCGTTAAACAAATTTTGAATAATGAATCGAGTGTGTGTTTCCTAAAACAATGTTAATATTACTAGAGTCTTCCACTGCATAATAATTAAACTGAAATTGGAACTGGAATTTTATATTCATCTGTAATTTTATTTAAAAGTAAATAATGTTCTATAAAATTTTTAGTGACATTTAGTAACATTACTGATTCAAAAATGACAGTCTACATAAAATGGAATACTTCATTTTAAACGTTATAATGCTCAAAATATTAGATCGTTATTATTAAAGCTCTCAAATAATTTTTTATTTTATTATTCGAGTTGGATATTTATTACAATAAATTACGATATAACATTATTGATCATGATAAAATTCAATCCAGTGAAGACATCCACAAATGACATTATTTTAATAATCGTGATATTAACTATTTAAATTATGTTTCAATGATCTTGTTCCCGACTAATTATGCTATGCATGTCTATCTTTGATCAAGTTTTTATATACAGAATGTATATACAATGTCTTTTAATCAATGATAGCAGTCAAAAAACTAAATTCAATCACAAAGGTTCCCAAAAATTCGAAGATATTTCATCTTATCTCCGTTCGCATCCTGTCGATCGTCTATCCTCAAATCCTGCTAAATCCACGTGTTGTCATGGATGATTAAACTCCATTACTCCAGCTGTCCATTGTTGTCCACATAGTATTCAGTCCGTAATCCTGAGAATAAGATTACGATACATCGATCACTCCTGATCAACAAAGACTTGATCAACAATTAAGTTTTTGTTATTTTCCCTATGCTAATAAAATTAATATAATACGTCCAAACTAATAAAATATTCAAAGGAGTTTATTCAAAGAAGAATATTCCCATCCACATCATAAACCTCAGCTTGGTCACTATCGTATACACAGGGTGTTCCAGTAACGGTAGTACAACTCGCAAGGGAGTAATTCTACGTGAAAAAATAAATCGAAAATGAAGAATAAAAATTTTTCATTCGAAGCTTCATTTTCGAGAAAATTGACTTTGAATATCCATCGAGTACACGTGCACTTAACTATGTCTTAGATGGATAGACCATCGATACATCAGTATCGATGGTACAACTGAGGAGGGGGTGATTCTACGTGAAAAAACAAATCGAAAATAAAGAATAAAATTTTTTGATTCGAAGCTTCGTTTTCGAGAAAATCGACTTTGAATATCCACCGAGAACGCTGGTATACTGATGGTCCATCCGCCATTGCCAAAGTTAAGTGCACGCGTACTCGGTGAATATTCAAAGTCGATTTTCTCGAAAACGAAGCTTCGAATAAAAAAATTTTATTCTTTATTTTCGATTTGCTTTTTCATATAGAATCACCCCCTTCCTGATTGTACTACCGTTACTGGGACACCCTGTAGATATCGATATAGCGATTTATCTCCCTTTCCTTGTAATTAGACATGTAAATACTATTGTTCTTTGGAATCATGGAGCAGAAATTGATCGTTCTCCTGTTCATAGCTGCAGGTCTGGCAACGTCATCGAGCAATCGTCCATCAGCCGGTGGCAATAGTGGATCTAATCAACACGAAGATGAAGATGTCGACTTGGTGGTCGACGGTGACGACGCTGCCGAATTTGGGCCAGCACAGTATTCCGAGGCAGACGTAATTGCACCGCGCATGGATGGCACCCCAAGAGAACAAAAAGAAAGAGATGCTCTTCGAGAAGCCGTGATATCGCCAAACGCGTCAAACACGCCGCACACACCCGAACAAATTGGCCAAGGTTTGGTCGAAGTGAAGCCTGAACCAGGTACGACGACACCTCTTGGCCAGAACGAGCAAGATGAGAGCGTTTCGACGTCGCCCAGAAGGGATGGTGACACACCGGTGATTGAGGCTCTCAGAGGCAGGATTCGGGAATTAGAGGCTGAAATGCGTGGTCAGCCGTTTAAGTGTCTCATCTGCATGGTGAGTTTTTATTGTTATAAGTATTACTTATAATCATTACTTATGATATAACATATTCTATGTCATCCATATATCAAGTATATTACATGTCTAAGTGTCTTCTTAAAGAAAAGGAGTCATGTAATATTTACAGTATAGTAGCTTGATGACTATTTACATGATTTACATGTTATGTAGTAGTTTAATGAATACCTTACCACTTACGTAACTTACATGTTATATAGTAATTTTATGACTACCTTGCTACTTACATGACTTCCATGTTATATAGTAGTTTGATGACTACGTACATGATTTACATGTTATGTAGTAATTTTATCATCACCTTACTATCTACATGACTTACATGTTATATTGTAATTTAATGACTGGCTGCATATCTTATGTGTTACATGATATATACATGAATACTTATATAACTTACATGTTACATAGTAAAAAAGAATAGAATATATTGACCATTTTGATTAAATACAGTTTAAGAATATTTATAGCATAAGATTTTTTGTCTCTTTGCACTTATAATTCATAATTCATAATTGCACATAACCTTAACTCATGTATTTGTATTATTAGTATGCATATAGATTTGAGTACATATTACATAGTACGTACTTATATAAACTTACATGGTATATAGCAAGTTCACTGAATAATAATTGATGAAATATAATAAAATATAATAATTGAAAGTTAGCAGAATGTAAAAGCAGTATTTAATCTTTCTGTTATTTAAAGTATTCAATCTTGTCCAAATTTCTTTTGAGTAACTAATTTCCAAAATCCTACAAATTATTACATTGTAGTAGAATATTAAAAAGGACAATCCTTAAATTCTTGTTTATTTAGGTTGTGATTTACTAATGTAAACAAATATTTGATTTATTTATGTCTACAGGAACAATATAAAAAACCTGTGACTTCAGTCTGCTGCTGGCATGTGCATTGTGAGCAATGCTGGTTACACACATTGGTAAGTCATCAATATTTTGTTAAATTAATTTTCAGATTACATCCTGATAACTTGAGTTTTGGTATTTATTTACAAAACGTAAAGTATACATTTTGAAAAACTGGAATTTGATTAATGAAAATTACAATCTTATAGAACATTTAGAAAAATTAATTGAAAGTTTAAGTAATTTTGAAACAGATTTAGGAACTTTTTATTTCAAAAATTTAAGTTAATGTTGTTTAAATGACAATAAAAAGACATTGTTGAATGCTTACATATCGTGCAATTCTTTCCCTGACAGGTGATATATTACTTACAAAATCAATTTTGAAGCAAAGTTTTATCTTAAATCTTTGCCGCAAGTATATACAATCAAATATTTTAATTCAAAAAAATTTCTATTCTAATTAGACAACATTATGTACATAAAATATTATTTGAATTGAAAATAATTATTTATTTATTTAAATAACACAATAATTTCTAATTTTAATCTCCCATGTGATATAGTTTTGTATATACATTTGATACGTGATATACATTTACATGCAACCAAATTATTAACACATAATATTAATGCATGTTAAATATTTCGTGCCAAAATTATTTTCCTTTACAGAAAATTAAAATTACAGATATAACACCATATGAATGTTGTGCTAAATTCTATTTAATTTGCATTACTATATTTAGAAACATAAATATATGTATACTATCATTTATAAACAATTTTAAAATAGAATAGTGAAATTGTCAGAGAAAGGATTGAAGATAGATAGGAAAGCTTGAATAGCATAGAAAAAATGTTTTGAGAAGAGTTATCCCTTTCAGGGCGCGAAAAAGCTGTGTCCACAATGCAACATGATAACCTCGCCTTCAGACTTACGGCGTATCTACATGTGAAGGGAGTCGCGTGCCAAACAAGAAGCTGTTGGTTCCGAGTTGTTCGTAGAAAGGTCGATCGTAAGAAAATCAACGCGTTTCAAGTGTTTCGATCGTGTAAATATCTGTACATATTTATGCGCCACGTTAAATTAACTCCTTTAGATTTACCACGTACTGATACGCACTATAGCGTTAGTAAATTAAGCCGTGAAAGGCGCGCGTGAATGATGTCTCGATCGAACCGAGTCGAGCAATGTCGATTATGTTTTATCGTTCGTCACGCAGACCAATTTTCATCGTACTCCGCTGACAAGTTATTGTAAGATGTTAGTAGAAAAATTGTACATTATTTTGCAAAATAATTACTTCGATACTTAAGAATCGATCGTACAGATCGAGCAACATTTTCAATGTCACAAATACAAATATTCTAATAATTTAATTATAATTATAACTTACCGTATTAATTATTTGTACACGTTCTCGTTTTCCTTCGTTTTTATTACAATGTATCTCTGTATATCTTCAGATAGTCAAGAAGTCTGTTGAGGTTAATGCTTGCGGTAAGGCGGTAAATACGATACTTTTAGACGTCTGATTATCGTCGGTAGGTAATAGTCTAGAGGGCAGTGTCAAGCATCGTTGTCGAACCTGATTCGAATCGAAGACTATTCGCGCGTACCTGAAATTCTAGGTGTTATTTCGAACGATTAACGTCTACTTTAAAGTCGCCCCTTTTGCAGGATCTACAGTTTTTCTCTTAATCCTCTTCCGAAAGAAACAATGTATCTGTGTCTACGATTCATCGAGTTCAATTTACAAAGACGAGTATTATTGTATGTGTAAAATATAATCGACAACTTTGTTAACGCAACTATTTCCAGTAGAATTTCCGTAACGCGAAAGGAACGATTTGAAAATAGTCAAAAGTTATTGTATTTAATACGAACAAAGCTCACGAACAAGTGGGAGTATGAATTCTTTTTAGCATTTGTTACGAGTATCTAGCAATTTGTTATGTAATCCTTTTAATTCGAACCGAAGCAAGCAAAGAACATCCAAAAGGAAGATCGGTATACGTTTGCTTTTTTAACGATAAATATTATGTAATATCCACGTACTATATGCAATTTAGACACTATACAGTGTAAAAGAAAATATTAATTTCCGTTAAGTACTAATTACTTTTTAATTTTGTCCATGAAGTCGTATATTTATTTTATTTTATCGGTAATAAAGGAAATTTGATTAAGGCAGAATGTTAAAGGACAGATTTACATTATTTAATAAAGTGTTTCCAATCATTATGAGAATTAAGATGCCATTAAGTTTGCAAATATAAATTTCTTTAAAAATGTTCAGCTGTTTGCATTGAATAAAATATTCGTGAAAATATTAATTCTATGGATAAGATGCACGTTAAAAATCAGTGAATTTGACAGTAATATACGAGTTGAATTTTATTCTACAAATTTCTTTATAAAATACGCATTATCCGAAAGCTATATCGAAATTTGTTAATTACAAATCACAAACATCAGTGTAATCCAATCGACCAAAGTCACGATACAAAACTGGATAAATTGATTAGTAGCTATTAAAATAAATAAATCAAATTCGTATGTTTTTTTTTATACACACATACATATATATAAATGGGAGAAATATCGTTTATTTTAAATAGAAAAATTCGTCGAGAAAAATACGAAGAGGGAGAAAAGAAAGAAATTACGTACATCCGTGGAATGAAAGAAAAGAATGGTCAAGACGAATCGTAATTGATCATTTTCAAAGGTTCTTATTTATTTCGTGAGTATATTATTTTATTACTGATTTTCCTTTTCTATCTTCAGAATTATTGACAACGCGAGTGAGATTACATTCGAAACGATGGTTCGATTCAAAATGATTTGATAAATTGTGTCATGAAACATTTCGATTTTCATTACTGCACATCGATCATTAGTTACGTGTAAAGCATTGTAATCTTAAAAATGTTATTTACAAATTTTCTTCCATCACTTCTCAAACATTCGAATTACTATAGTTTCACAATTGAAAGGTTTCCGCGCGATTCGATACGATCATTGCAACTTGTTCACTGTAAATGTATGATAAGATGCAGGTTACGTTGAACGGTATTCTTGTTTTAAGGTTAAGTAGGCAACTCGATCAATTGATCGTTGGAGAGAAGGAGGCGATATGTCGAAGTATTCGTTACGTATGGAAACGTAAATGTTTGTGAAAACAGTAGTACGAAAGGCTCGAATGCACTCTCTCTCTCTCTTTCTTTCCCTCTTTCTCTTTCTCTCTCGATCAAGATTTTAGATTGCTGCGTGTCTCCTCATGCACGTCGAGAAAGTTCTTGTAAATACACAAATCGAGTTAAAACCAGCAGGAGAAACCGGCTCCCCGTTGCGAGCGTTGTTCTGTAATCGAAATAAAACGATCATGGAATGTAGAACTATCGTTTACTATCAATTTTTTCTTCTTCTACACGCAATTAATTTCCCTCGATCTTAGGAATATCCCGCAACAGTCGATACGATTTGGATTCACGTGTGGACATTTTTCGAGAAAGCATATTGAGCTGAAGCCAAAACAAAGGTACGTATTATTATCGTTTTCTTGTTTTTATCGAGTATCGGTGGATATTTTTACAAGTGCGCACAATCGAAGTAAAATATCTTCAAAGTGAATCTTACAGTATTAACCACTACAACGTTAAATTGGGCATTAGAATACATTTACTATCTAGAATTTTGACTAATGGTCTATTCACGTGAATACATATTTACATGAACATAATGATTTAAATTGAATTAAAATTAACGAATATTCTTGGTAATTGCACTATACATACATACATATAAATACACATAATTATACATACATAATTATGTAAGCGAGATATTTAAAGAGTAGAAAGATTATAATTAATTAAATACTGCATAGTAATTATTATTGTCATTTCGTGTAAATTATAATTTTTCAATTTAATTTGGAGATATTTTTTTCAAAACTGAGCTGATATTAATTAGATAAAATAAACAAATCTCGGTGCCAATTTGTGCATATTCTTCACTCTGTTTATGCCTTTATTTAATATGTCTATTATTTTCTCATTTTTTATAAGGTATTATGCAACACATGAAAATGAACCCACAAATTTCGTCAACGTATTCAGAAATTATCTTAAATGAAAAAGAGTTCTATAAACTATTCAACTTTATCATCGAGGCATGATTCTAAACGCTAAATTTTCTTTAATAAAATAAAAATTTTCGTTTCTATTCCGATCAAATAAATTCTGCATAGAATAGAAATGCTATTATGATTAAATATACCAATCACGTGAAACAGTGTTTGATCTATGGGAATCGATGAAAAGTATCATAATTTAATAGTGATCGATATTCAATGAGTCCAGCCAGTGGAAGCATAATTGGGTGCAGTCGATACAATGAGGTTATGAAATCGATCAGGCGTTAAAGTTTTCGACAGCTGAAACTTGCAATACGAGACGTATAAATGAATATAACCTCATTCAGGTATGATGTCAACTTAAAATTTGTTTTTTACTTTACAATATATTCGAACAGATTTCGTATAATATAAAATTTAGAAAACAGATTTTATAAATGCATAATTTGTTGCTTTCTTTAGAGTGCATATTACACAAAAATTTTAAATATCAATTGATTGACGTTCGAGAGCCAAGCTGGTTCTATAAAATACTTTGGATGTGACTACATTAATTGATCGTTAAGTCACTGCTTAATATTTTAATTTACGATCTCGTTATACCATTGGGATGTCCCAAAATTCATGCAAAATTTAAATTTTGTACCATATGTGCGGCAAAATATTACCAATGGAAAAAACGGACAATGTAACTGTTGACAGTTCAAGGTTATTGAAAATGGAGCGATACACGAAAGAACAACACGTTTTTATTGTTGAGCAATATTTACAATTTTTAATTAAATACCTACGTTTTCTGTCAAAATTACTTATTGCCTGAATTTTGGGACACCCGATATCACTTGTTGATTTGTTTATTCAGAAACATGAGTTTTAAACAACTGAATTACAATTTGTAAGTAAATACGCCTGTGATATCAGTCTAATACAAATTTTTTCTCGGGTAACGTTTAAAAGTCAGTTTCAACTCGAAATACCCTGTATATCGATTTAAACGAATAGCAATTTATAGAAAAATAAAATATGTATAAGGAATACATTTATAAGAAATTTTAAATAATACAATATTTGAAGTTGGATTTATTATCAGTAATTTTATAAGTATGTAGATAATTAATTTCTGAATATTATAACTAACAAATGAAAAATGTTTAAAAATATTTTTTGTATAAGAATTATATATTCACGAATCCTTTTAAATAGGAAATGATATTTTCATTAACTGATCAAAAGTCAGGAATCACGTCTTATCTCTGGTTGCGATTAATACAACTGTTCTCAAAACTCTCTATTTGTAACATAATCTAAAGGAGCATGTATGCACATAAAAATATTTGACATGAAAATTTTTATTTTTATAACTCGTCTTAAATAATCTCGCGATTGCAAATATATTCAGCCATTGTAAAAGTTCAAGTCTTATAAAATATAAATTTGATTATATCTAATTTAGTATTGTAGTAATCAGTAATTGTAGTAATTAGTAATTTACTGTTAAATAAATTATAACAGTATTAATTATGGTTTATATGATGTTCTAATATTATTGTTTATAAATAATGCTACAAACTATAACATTTACTACTATTGTTGAAACGTTACATCATGCAAAGAAAAGATTCATAATTATAAGACTGTCTACTTAAAATAAAATGTATATTTTTAAATAATTCACAAATTATTTATCAATACAAAAAGTTTTTCTATACTAATCAAAAATATTAAAGCAACTTTTCCAAAACTAAATATTTATTCTTACCATTAGTAAGTTCTACAATTTATGAAATAAAATTACCGTTATTTTCTATGAAAAAAATAAATATGGAATGTCTTATTCTATATTGTTAAACATATTGTATGTCTATAATGTATATTAAATAAGAAGTTAAGTGTAGACTAATATATTAATTAATATATATAATAATGTTATAGACATGCATAAATTTATAATCTTAAAAATTATCATGTTCATTTCCAATAAGAAACCAGGATTTTGTCTCAATATAGCATAAAAGTAGTTGCCAATACGTTTAACGATGCAACGAACT